TTATATTGTTTTGAAGCCCAGCGATTAATTTTATGACTATTATTCTAAATTCACTTTCTGTTATATTGTTTCAATCCTTTTTGACCAGTTCGTTAGCTGTTGTTATTTCCTGGAGATTCTTTTGAGGGGAATTCTTCCGTTTCGTCATTTTGGATAATCCCTGGAGTGGTGCAGAACTGCGGGGGCAGTGCTATCACCTTAAACACATTACATAATTCTTTCTTTCTGAGCTAGTCAAGAGACTTAATAGTTATGATCAACAATATAATTATAAAAGTATTACAAAGTTTTAACCATGTATATTATAATATGCACCTCAGATATCTTATGTAATTTAATACTCATAACAAATTGTCAGAGTTATTTCTTTCCCACATCTTACCATGAACCAACCTTGGCTCTGAAAGTCACATGCAAAGCTAAATGGCATGGTGCTGACTGTATATGGTGTGTTATTTTAAAATAAGACCAGCTTCATTTTTAAATGATTTTATTTCAGAATATTCATTAATAATGAGATTTATATCTAAATTTAAAATTATGGGGGCTACTGGGTGGCTCAGTCGGTTAAGCATCCGACTTTGGCTCAGGTCATGATCTCACAGTTCATGGGTTCGAGCCTTGCATCAGGCTCTGTGCTGACAGCTCAGAGCCCGGAGCCTTCTTCGGATTCTGTGTCTCCCTCTCTCTCTGCCCCCCACCCCTACTTGCTCGCTCGCTCTCTCTCACTCTCTCTCTCAAAAATAAAAAAATAAACATTTAAAAAATTTAAAAATATAAATTTAAAAAATTAAAAATTTAATTTAGAATTATGTTGTCCCCATTATTTCATTAGAGACCTGATACTTCACAGCACAATTCTTAGGGTCATTGATAACTTTGCCCCTGCTACTGCATGGCCCTACAAAGTACTGACTCTCTCAGTGCTTCAGTTTCAGCATCAATAAAGGCAAAATTGTATCCATACTTTTCCTGATGTCCAGAGCTACATGAAAAATCAAAATTTTATAGGTTAAAGTGATGCTTAAACTAAATTATAAATTTAAATTTCCTGAAGTCATATACTTATATGAACTCTGCAAGTGACATGGACACTTAGAGATGGGAAATTACTCAGCTGTGACTGAATTCTTTCTGGCGGGACTTTCCCAATACCAAGAGGTCCAGCTTTCTTTGTTCATGTTCTGCCTCATGATACCTGATAATCCCCCTGGAAAACAGTCTCCTGATTATCATCAACACCCTAGATTCTTGCCTCCACACCCCCATGTACTTCTTCCTTGGGAACCTCTCATTCTTGGACATTTGTCGTACATCATCATCCATTCCTCTGATGTTCACATTAAGGTCTGAGAGAAAAATCCATCTCCTTTATTGACTGTGATGTGCAGATGGTTGTCTTCCTTGGGTTGGGCTGCACTGAGTGTATCCTCCTGGCTGTGATGGCCTATGATTGGTATGTGGCCATCGGCAACCCACTGAGGTACCCCACCATCATGAATAGAGGGCTTTATGTACACATGGCTGCTTGGTCTTGGATCACAATGCAAACAGTCCTGACAATGGTGTTGCCTTTCTGTGGGAATAATGTCATCGACCATCTTACCTGTGAGTTACTGGCCCTTCTTAAACTCATATGTTCAGATGTCTCCATCAATGTGCTTATCATAACAGTGGCAAGTATTGTTTTCTTAGTGACTTCCCTAATGTTAATTTTTATTTCTTATGTTTTTATACTCTCTTTCATCCTGAGACTTAACTCTATTGAAGGGAGAAAGAAAGCCTTTTCAACCTGTTCAGCCCACCTTGCTGTAGTATTTTTACTCTATGATTCAGTCCTCTTTATGTACATGAAGCCCAAGTCAAAGGACATGAAGTTTGATGAGATCACTGGGTGTTGAACTCCATCATCTACAGCCTGAGGAATAAGAAGGTGAAAGAGGCCATGAAGAAAGTCTTGAGTAGACACTTACACTCATGGAAAATATGAAAGTGCTTAGGACATGTAGTATCTACATTTGGGGAAAAGATGTATTTTTGGTAGTCAAAGATGAAGTTGCAGAACTCAGTGTGATGAGAGCATTGTGTTTGCAAAGCCAAATGTGGAACTCTCATTTATACAATAATAATGTCCATGAAAACCTTTTCATATAATATCTTTGTAGCAGTCCTTCTAGTTATATGGAACTATGCCTCTTGGTCCCACAGAGGTCATGATGGATGCTGTTCGTGATGAATATCTCTCTGTCTCTATGTCTCTCTCTCTCTCTCTCTCTCTCTCTTCTTCCCTATCCACCCCTCTTTTCTCCTTCTTCCTTCTTTTATCTTTCTCTTCTTTGCTCTCTTCATCTTCTTTGTCTCCTCAAGGTACATATGTATATATTATTTTGGTCTATCCAGCATCCTTTCATCTAATAAAAGAACACATCTTTTTATTTTAAGAAATCCACTCTCTCCCACTCTCAGTCCATAGTTGGCTGAGGCTGGCCACATTCTCTGAATCAAATGATAAGCATGAAACACAGATTGGGCCAATGAAAAATGAACATCTCCTACTCACAGTGATTCATTCAGAGTAGCTATATGACCTAAGCCATGCTAATCATACTTAATTGCCAAATAGGTGCCTGAGTGTCAGAGAAAAGTCACTCTTTTTTTCAAAGGATTTCTAACATGTAGAACATGTATCTGGATCTTCTCCCGGCCATTTCTGTCAATATATGGGGAGAGCCCGACTGAAAATGAAATCACCAAAGAGGAAAGGAGAGCTGAGGGAAGGAATTAGGGTGGTTTGATGTCATTATTAACTCCTAGTTCAAGTTGGGTCTAAAAACATTCATGCTTGGGCTTTTCAGTTATGTGAGACAATAAACTTCCTTTAAAATAAACTGAATTAATTTCCACTGCTTATAACCATATAAATCCTTATTAATGCATTCTCTTATATACCTCATCTTCTCTCTCCCCCTCACTAGCTCCTACTTCTAACTTTTCCTCTGTATATCCCTCTTATCTAATTCTTTCTAATACTGTTTATATATTTCCCTCCTCCTGTAATTTTGTTATTCTGTATTTCCATCTCTTTCTCACTCTTGTTCCTCTGGTTCTTTCATCCTCCATCTCAAAAACTTGTCATTTTTTTTTATATATGAAATTTATTGTCAAATTGGTTTCCATACAACACCCAGTGCTCATCCCAAAAGGTGCCCTCCTCAATACCCATCACCCACCCTCTCCTCCCTCCCACCCCCCGTCAACCCTTAGTTTGTTCTCAGTTCTCAACAGTCTCTTATGCTTTGGCTCTCTCCC